TGATGGATGGATGTAAAATAGAGTTAATTAAGCTCAGATTTGATTATTTTAAGAGCTGCTGGTCACACGTGGTTACTTCACAGACCGTTGGAAAGTTGATATCTCGCTGTTTTTACAGCTTGTGATTGATCCATGGCATCATTTTTAAGGATAATAGTATAAAAATGTTCTTCCTGTATCATAATAGACAGTAAGTGAACATCCCAGCAGGGTCTTAGCTGCTCTCAGTGGGTCTTAATAATATTTCTGAATGTACCTGCTTATGTTTTATTCTTCTCTGAGCTTCCTGTCGTGTCTCAGACAGGAGACATTTAAGAGGCTGTAAATCTTTTATTCCACTCCAGCTCCTCCTGGTTATGAAACATTACACAACCGAACCAGCGGCGTGCTTTTCTTCCCACGCTGACCCGCCTCACCGCTCAGACATATGTTAGAGCTCCAGACGGACACGATGCATCATCCAGCAGCAGCTTTACCTTCTGTCTACCTGCAGCGCCGAGCCGAGCGCTCTGCCTGCTCCTGCCTTCGCTGCACAAACACAGAGGAGCTGCAGGATGTGGAGGAAGCCGTCAGCGGAGCGTCGGAGTTCTGAACTCGCTGGGTGTTTGGACCGCGATGCTTCAGGAGCTTCTGGGGATCTCAGGTTTCCTTCTGTGAGTGGAAGCTTATTAAACCAGATGCTGGACAACCTGGAGTTCACGGGTTCTGCTCCACACGGCCGAACGTCTGTGGACGGTTTGGGTCTCGTGTTGCTGCCGTTTCAGTTCAGTGACTGGACTTTACTGCTGGGTTCATTTTTCCTGCTGCGGCACGTTGTCTGCTGTGAAGAAGGTTAGTTAACCATCTAGCAGCTAGTTCAGCTAGTTAACCATCAAGTCAATAAAATGCCAGTAGATAAGCGTCCCACAGACCACAGTGACCTGAGCAGTGTTCAGGTTCTGTGACTGGTTCTGACTGATGAGTTGTTTGCTTCGGAAAATGGTAAAAAAGAAAAAGTTAATCTGCAACAAGCGTCTTGTTTTCTTGGGAGATATTCAGTTTATTGGCCTTGAGCCGGACAGAAACCAGGAAACATCCACATTTAAGAAGCTAAAACCAGAGAATTAGAATCTTTTTTCTTGGGAACACGACCAGATTAGCCCAGTTGACTGGTTCTGGATGTAGCTGGTAGTTAATTTAACAGTTAATCGATTGTCATTGCAGCTCCACAGACATCAAATAATCACACCGGAGAAGCTAAAACATCACATATCTGAGGTTTTAAAAGCTAAACATTAGTGGGGTTGGTTTCTCCTGATCCGGTCATTACAGCTCTAAACACGCCGCCCACGCCGCTGGTTCCTGTTTTTCAGGAAACACGACCATCTCGCTGCTGTTTATCCTAAAACTCTCAGATTGTCTGTTTGTGCTGCACAGTCGTCGTTTGTGAGTCTGTGGAGGTGTTTTGTGTGTTTATGCTGCGGTGAGGAATCCAGCGTTACACTGGTTGGGTCAAAGAGGCAGAAGCAGCAAACATTCCTGCCTTCACTGAACTTCATTCTGCCTGATGTGCCCTCTGGAGCTGAGCTTTGTGCTGAAGTCTGGCTGACGTGTCGGGATGTGCCACAGCTCTGGTGGTTGTGCAACAGCTGATAGCTTGTTTTCTCTTCAGCTCCGTCTTTGTGACGAGGAGCTCCAGTGTGAGCGGCGCGCTGTTGAGGCTCCTGTTGCTTCTGAGAACCAGGTTTGTTCCTGATCAGACGTGAACTCCTCCTGCTTCTGACAGCTGCCTCTCCTGCATCTTCCTCCAAACCGTCTCACCGCATCAAGCCTCTGAATGTTCAGCGTGTCTTTAACATCTGATCCACGGCTGGTTTCCTGCTCTTTATGGAGCAGTGAGGTTTCATACGGACTTAGAACTGGGCCAGGAACCACCTGCAGGTCCACGTGGCTCCACAGAGGCTGTAGTTAGGATGTGGTTCAGAAGTCATTCAGGGTTTAGTGACTCAGAACCAGGAGCTGATTTATGTGTCACTGGTTGGAAAAGCTCAGGTGTTCGATTCATAACGAGAAAAGCTCTGAACGGTTTTGTTGAATACACGTTGAGTCACGTTGCCGCCCTGCTGTCCAGTCACAAGCTGGGAAATAATATATATATATGTTTTTAAATTATTATTTTACTGATTTTCCTCTTGAAAAATAAATAAATAAATACAGACAATATTTAAGCATCTGAGTTGAAAAAAAAACAAACTATATAAAACGTATTATTAGTATCATCATCTTTTAAAAACAGAAAAAAGGATTGTTGACTGTAAAAAATATTGAAAAAAGACACCAAAACTGTTCATGATATCCACAACAAAAGTCTGTATTTCTACAAATTTTATTTTTCTTTCACTGTAAAATCAGACCGATGGCTAAAAAAACAATGAACGTATGCCATCATTTTTTGTGTTTTTTAAATTTTTTTACATTTATTTTACATTCGACTGTGAAATTGCACCTTTTTAAATGTTATTTTATTACTATATTTAACTAATAAAAAAGAGCATTATTTTACAGATATTTGCTGGTTTTTAAAGCAAAAATTATGTATGTTAAAGACTGAAATTTGTTCCCATTTTTAGCTGTTATTTTACACATTTTCTGTTTTGTTAAAACACAAATAATATCTAGTAAAACCACAGAAAAACCTAGAAATGTAACACTGGGCAAACTGTTTTTCCAAGTTGTAATCGGCCATAAAATTACTCTATTTTACTTTATTTGAATCAGCCATAAAATCTAATTGTTTTGCAGATATTTATTTTTTCACGCTGTGCGGTTCGGGTCGATCAGAACCGTCTGCGGTCCACTACAGCAGCTCTAGACTTCTGTCTCTTCCTCTGGCTTTGCATTAACTCACTCTCTGCTGCCTTTCTTCTCTCGTTTCTCCCACAGATGTACCTTCTCCTTCTAAAGCTCAGCCTCATCCTCTGATGCAATTCCCTACAGGCAAGTTCTCTCTGCTCGCTGTGTTTCCTCGTCTGCCTCCTTTGTTTCCTTTCTCCACTCTTTTTGGTTCACCTCCCTCTTCGTTTGTCCAAACTACTCATGGCATGTGAGAAGCTGTAGACTGGTGGAGCTCTGACTCCAGATGCTCGTGGATCTGAGACTAAACCTGATGTGTGCTCGTTGCATTGTGACTCATGTTGTCGTAGATTAGAGTGACATGAACTGATCCTGGTAGTTTGTAGTCTGATGAATAATGATTCTCCTCAGCGATTGGCACCTTTAACACTTCTGTTGACAACATTTTGAGAGAATCAGCTGAGAGGAATCATTATCTGACATCACTTGACAGTCTGTGTTTGACACACTGGGCATGGTTTTATTGGCGCCAGACCTGGGGCAAAAACCACTTTACCACCATGCAGTAAACCAGGTGGTTCACTGGTGACCAGACAGTGCTGTAAAACCTTACCTGTGGAAGATGGACTGTTCACCTCTTTCACAGCTGCTTGTTGGCGTCCTGTTGTTTCCAGATGACAGAGCTGACGGTACATTTCCAACACAGAAAGCTAGATTTTAATGATAGAAGTGTGTTGTGGGTTGTGTTGCCCATTAAATACAACCGAAGAGGCCACAAACACAAAGTCCAATTTTAACCACCACTGGCCTAAAACTTATAAACAAAACATTAACTTTAAAGCAAAAAGCATAGCTGCCTTGGATTTTATTTAATCTCATCTACCAATAAAATGGAAGGTGAGATGCATCAAGTTCTGCTGATTCTACACCAGTGTACACGAACACTATGGTTACGTGAAGTTGAATAAAAGGGGAAAATAAAGTAGTTGTTGGTCGTCATCTTTCCAGCAATTTGTTTCACAAATAAGTTAGTAACGCGACAAATTAGAGCTGGTTTGTGTCAACTAGGCTACAAAAGCAGTAGTGCGATTGTTGGCAGTCGTGTGAAGGGTCCTCACCAGGACTTTTTTGACAGCGCAGCGGGGCGAATGTTAGCAAATGCTGCTAACTGTTAGCAGCAAATATGCTAGCGAATAGCAGCAACGATGACGGTAGGGAAACTCCATCGGTGCTTGTTGTTAAATTTTTTCCTGCTACATACCCTCTAAAATGGCGTAACGGCCCAGTTTGCAGCATAACGGCCCAGTTTGCAGCGTAGCGGCCCATTCTAAAAGCATAACAGGTCGTTACGCTTTTATAATGGGCCGTTACACTGTTGTAACGCTGGCGAGAACCCTGGTGTGGATGCACAGAATACTATGCATGGAAGTCCTTCCAGTGCACTAGAAAGTAGATGATAATGACAACTAGTAGAAGTATGAGCAAGGCTACAGTGCTAAGACTGTAAATGAATGTGAAAACATTTGCTAGCTTAGCAGGATTAATGCTACAAACCACATTCCTTCGAAGGAGAACAACTGTACGTCCAATCAAAAACAGTATACAATTGTAGTTTATGGAGTCCTCAGGTATTAAACAACCTTCACTTTTACAAACTGAATTTCCAGGAAAAACTATCCCCCTATATTCGAGCCAAAACTAAAGACAACAAAATGACTTTTGAACCAGCTCACTGGTGTTTGGAATAAACAGAACCGGCCGTCATTTAGTAAAGCTGAGGTTGGACCGTCCACCATCCACAGCCAACCTTTCCACAGCACTTGTCTGGTCCTGATCTCCAAAACCTTCTTCAACATGTTTTCAGTAGCTGTTCTACCCAGGTATGGTGGGCATTGTAAGGAATGGAGTATGTCTTTGATATGTGCTGTATTGCGTTCTCCCTCCTCCCTCTCTACTCAAGCACTTGGGCAGAAGGGTGATTCCCCTGCTCCCATCTCTCCTATCTCCCCTCTCCACTCCCCCGACTCTCTGGAGGAGCTATCTCTGACCGAGAGTCCCAACCAGCCCCCTACTTCTGGATCTGCTGCACCCCTGGGCTCCTTCTCCACTCAACCCTCCACTAATCTTTCCAAGGACATGCCTTGGGAGCGTGAAGAGGGTGACTCCGGACCGGGTCGTAGTAAGAATAAGGAAGACCTTCTAGATCCGTTAGCTGGTCCTTACCTGAGTTTAGGGAAAGACCCAGGGCCTCATAACCCGTGTGAAGACAGCGGCATTTCCTTTTCACCTGAGGAGAAGCTGATTAGCTCAGACAGGTCCTCCACTGGTCCCTCCCCCGTGAACCCCCAGATGAAGGTCCCTGAGTCTCACCTTGCCTCCTCTAACCCAACAGAGCACTGGGATTCACCATACCTAGCATCTCAAGACAACTCCAAGGTCTCCATGGATTCCTTCTCCAAGGACACAGCCCCCATTAGCTCCTCCAGGTACGAGCGGGACCTGCACGGCAGCCAGTCCGATGAAGACGATGACTTGATGTACGAGGTGAAGAAGAATAATAACCCATTCGAAGGCTATTCCCCGCTGGCAGACAGCGGCTACTCCCACTTTGGAGACTCCAAGTCTGACAGCAGGGCGTCTAAAATGTCAGAGAGTCCGACTCCGGATCTGGTCCAGTACGGGCAGACTGGAGAGTCCCAGGATAGCCCACCATCTTTCTTGGATGAGGGGAAAACCTTTGAGACCGGCAAGATGGCCACTGACTCGCTCATGCAGTCAATGAATCAGTTCTCATCTGGTCTTAAAGATGATGACGAAGAGGAGGAAGAGGATTCTGCCCTGCCGCCGTCGCTTCCAGACATCCTGAAATCTTCCCCGCTCAACCCTGACAAAGTCGACTCGGGCTCCTCTGAGGGTAGTCCGGAGGAGCAGAGCCCAATCCTTGAACGGAGGATGATGGAGTCGCCGAACCCGCCGATCAACCTGTCCGCGAATAACCCGTTTGCTTTTGATGCTAAAGTGTCCCTGCTGAAGGAGATGGCCGAGGAGATGGAGGAGAGAGCAGCTGACAAAGCAAAAGTCGAAGACGACAAAACCTTTGGCGCCTTTGACCTCGTTAAAGAAGCTGAGGAAACTACCCCGACTAAGGTCAAAGAAGAGGAACCTGTGAAGATTGAGCAGAAAGATTGGTTCTCAAGCCACGATTCTCCCAAAATGACCGAAAAGTTTGAGCCCCTTGACTTCCAGAGCAAAAAGGCCCCTGCTGAGGATTCGGATTCTGAGTCTCCAACAGCAGATTCTCTGTCTCCAGTCCTGGAAGCCATGGCCAAGAACCCAGCCAGCTTCCAGGTGGAAACGGAGAAGAAGGACCTGAAGATGGAGGTGGAGGAGCCAGAGGTGGCCGAGGAGGTTTCTGAACATGAAGTCTCCTCCGAGGAGTTTGAGTTCATCGAGAGACCACCGAGGGGTGTCATCGATGAGTTCCTCGAAGCTCTGGATACTTCCAAGTTTGCCTCCTCCAAGCCTCCAGAGATCCCCATGGATGATGATCTCAGCTTTGGGCAGAAAGATGTCTCTCCAGTTGCTGCAGCACCCCTGACAAAAGTAGCCCCGCCTCCAGAGGTGGAAGAAGAGGCTCCAAGCCAGAACTCCTACCGCCTCCTCACCCAGGCCTCCCCCCAGAAGAGCAAGGCTGAGCTGGAGAAGCTGGACATCCAGAAGCCTCCCCCCCAAGTTCCCGTCACCCATTCCCCCGTCAGCAAACCAGAGGAGCCGGTGGCCAAGAAGAGCTCGGAGGGCGGCAGACTGTTTAAGATGCCAAACCTGAACATAAGAGCAGGTAAAATCAGCCAGCATGGAAACCATCCCCCCCCACTTCCTCCTCAGTTTCCACCGGCACCTCCATGTCCATCCACATCATCTCCATCTTCACTCTTTTGTTCTCCTGAGTTCCTCCAACCCACCAGCAGCCAGCGTTTCCTTTAGCTCCCTTTAGACCCCACCACCTTTCCTTTCTTGCATCGTCCCTTTTTTTCTTTGCGTTTCTTTGAACATTAACCCTGCATCATGTCCAGTTTGCTTTAACGTGACCGTGAGGTCCATTCTGGTTTATTTCTGCTGCGTTTTCTGTTTGTGTCTCATTAGAATAACATCATTTCTGTTCATTTTGTCTTGTTTTAAAACGAGGTAAGTCACATGTGAAGGTTCAGTTTTTGTTGTCCTTTTAAATCCACTTTAAGAGATATTTCATGCACGATGAGCAGACGTCATGGGACCAAACCGGTGCTGCAAACACCCGTACATCCGGTCCAATCTGCCCTCTGAGCGTTTCTGCTTTGGATTACCTTACGCCCTCTTTAGCTTCGCTCCGCTGGAAATAACTCGAGATGCCAAAGTGAAACCAAACACCCCCTTATAGACTCCACTCCAGGCTACGTACATGCACAGCAGCAGCGGCCACGCCCGGTTTCTGACAGAAAAAGCCTCTGATTTATTTCACAACCTCTCCCACGGCTGTCGTACACGATTACATCAGATTTTATGTACCTGAGGCGAAACGCTGAGCATCGATAACCTCTGAGCCGTCATGACTTCAGAGGACGTTGAACTTTGTGTTTACCGACGACTGTAAATGTTTCTCCAGCCGAGTTATTTTAAAATGCGGAGTTCGTGGAATCTTAAGCGGTTCTGATTCAGTTAGACTCTCGGTGCCGTCCACGTTTAACGGAGACCAGAGGCTGCATTCAGACACGAGTTCTCCAGCAGGTTCAAGACTTGTTGCTTTGTTGAAGGACAGAAGATAAATATGAGGAGTTAAAAATAATAAAAATTAGGTTAAAGCTTAAGAAATTGGTCAATTATACTGTAAATTATAGATTAAGGCTGCAGCTGACGATTGTTGTCATTATCTGTTAATCAGTTGTAGAATTTGTCTAAAAAACGGGATGAAAAAAGGTGAAAAAATCTAAAACATACTCTGCCTACTGTCAACAACAACAAACGTGCAGTAAGCAACACAGAAAACAGGATAAAAACATAAGTAAATATAAAATAAAAGTTAAATAAAAAGTTATTAAAGTTATTAACAAACACCAAAATAAAAAAAATAAAAAAACTTTAAAAAACAAGAACAAAATGGATAAAAAATTATATATTATCTATTTGTAGAATAAAATACTAAAAATGCAATACAGTACAGAATACAAATGTAGAAAATAAACGTGATATAAAATACTGAAAATAAGACAAAAAACTAGATAAAAACTTAAAGAATGAATAAATACCAAATAATTGAGCATAAACAAGATTAAAATTTAGAATTAAAAAAAATATATATACAGTTATAATAAAAAACTGAACAAGCAAGACAAAAACCTGAGTAAAAGCTTGTAAAATAAGTTTAATACAAAATACTTTTTTAAAAAAGGAGAAAACTGGATTAAAAAAATTCTAAAATAAATGTGAAATACTAAAAATGCAGAATTAAAAACGTAGAAATAATAAGATACTGAAAATAAAATCTAGATAAACACTTCTTTTTAAATTAAAAAAGTGGTAATCAGAATAAAAACTTCTAAATTATTTTCTAAAAGTAAAATAAATCCAAAAATGCTAAACTAATAATACTAAGAGCAACCAAATGCTGTTAAACATGTACGTTAGATAAACTGCTGCTGATTTAATTGAGCATCAACATCAACTTTTCTGTTTCATATAAATAATGAAGATGATTTTATTCTGCTGTTTTCAGAGTTTTAAGTTTATTTCTTAAGCAAAGCGTGGGGCTTTAATTTTGTGGGGAAACTTGCTGTTTTCTGCACAGACACCATGATAACGGACTGAAGAGGCTGTTTAATAACCTCTGAAACGCAGAAACGCTTTATTAGCAGAACATCACAGAACCCCAGTGTCTGTAGTTTGTTGTTGTTGTTCTACCCCGAGGTGCTGATTGGAGGACACACTGCAGCTGGAGCGGCCGGTTATCAGCCGGTTATCAGCCGGTTATCGGCGCGGTGCAGAGCTGCCTCCTGCAGGCTTCTGCCTGCTGATAAATCGTCCTCGCCGTCTCCAAAGACGACAGTCTTCGCTTTAATGGATGACTCAGTTTTAGCCGAAGCGCCGTCGATCAGCGCCGTTAAGTGGAGCAGTAGGACTCTGCTCTGGGACGAGCCGTGAGGCGTTCGCTGAGCGTCGGAGGATCTCCTGTTAATTAAAGCCTCCTCCTCCTCCCTGCATTGCGACACTGGCAGCCCCACAAAGGGTTCTCCGACCCAGAAACCACTCAGCAAATGTTCCTCATTATGCAAGTTGAGGTGCAGCGCTGCGATCTGAGCTCAGACTCCCTCTCTGCTTGTCCTGAAAAAGCTGCTCAGACTTGTTGTGATGCTTTACTGCCCCGTAGACGCCTCAGGGACGGTTCCTGGTCCGTCTGAACACCAGGAGGTCACTGCTGCAGCTTTCCTAACCATTATCTTCTCCTTTAACCTCCTCCTGTCACAGTTTTACTCACTGTGGGTTCATTTTTCTCTGCAATATAAAGTCCTGCAGGTGTCTCGGTGGTTAGCACCGTCGGGGGGCGTCCCGGTGAGGACACCCAGGATCTTCCTTCGTGGAGTCTCCATGTTCTCCCCGTGCAGCGTGGGTTCTCTCCGGGTTCTCCGGCTTCCTCCCACAGTCCAGAAACATGCTGAGGTTAATTGGTGATTGTAAATTGTCCGTAGGTGTGAATGTGAGTGTGCTTGGTTGTCTGTCTCTAAGTGTAGCCCTGTGATAGACTGGTTACCTGTCCAGGTGAACCTGCCTTCACCCTGAGTCAGCTGGGATAGACTCCGCCCCCCATAGTGAGGATTAAGGTGTAGAGATGATGGATGGATGAAGTCCCGCACCTCTGTTTAAAAACCATGACTAGACAGAACTCCTGTGCAGCATGACGATGCAGAATTCTGCTGATTCTTCAACACAATCTGTAAAAACCTGGAATGAAATGAAAAATACTTTATTTATCCCAGAAGGGAAATTCAATTCGACACATGCAGCATTTTACTGAGTGTGTTGACAAACCAACTCTCTCCATCGTGTAGATAATGAGCTGTTTATATTTTTACGACCTCCACAAACGTTTTCGCTCTCCTCTGCACATTCCAGCTGGAGGTGTTTCACCAGGTTGACTGTATCCTCCATCAACCTGCTCCTCTGTGTTTCTGAGCTGTGCAGCATTTTTCTAAATTAATCCACTAAGGTTTTATTATCTCTGTCGTCGTCTCCTCTCTGCTCGGTGGAAACACTGCTGCAGTTCAGCCGAGTCGGTCGTGACTTTGTGGTTGAGTCAAGGTGTGCAAAATCTGGTGCAGTTAATTTATTTTGGGTGATTTTTTCCATTAGACGTGTAGGATAGAGGGATGAAATGAAATAGCACGAGGTGAAGCTGAGGTTTGGTTGATTTTAACAGGCAGAACATTATTCTAGGAGCCCACAGGTGTGACCTACACATGCAGCCTTTACATACTACAGATATTCAGCTATTTTACGTTTAAATTGATCCCAGTCTCCTCTGTGCTCGCCTGCAGCTCGGCAGAAAAGTTCCTGAATTATTGTCACGTGGCTGTAGGTCTCAGTCGAGTCCTTCGTGGCTTCACAGTTGTGTCGAGGAGGATTTTTTTGTTTTTGACAGAATCTGATTAAAGCAAACGAGACGTAGAATAAGATATGATGATTTTAAACTTAGAGTTGATTTTGTTAATGAAGCAGGACGTCACACATGAATAGTCTTGATCAGTTTCTGAGCGATAAATGGGGTCATTTGGGATTTTTTTTAAAGATAATGAGCTTTTCCAACCTGCTGGCAGGTTGTGAGGCTCAGAGATGCAGTCTGTGGCACAAACTGGACATAAATGAGTCACCTCAGAGTGACTTCAGCCAGTCATCAGGTCACTGTGAAGTACCAGCGAGTGGTCCGACAGCAGGCCTGCCCTCGCTCTGCCGCCCAGAAGGCAGCTCTGTAGCTAAACTCAGTTCATTGTCAGGTGTTCTGTGTTTGTTTTGGACGATAAAACGCTGGCGGCTGATCGTAGGTCTGTGATGTGAGCGTTGACTCTGCTGGTGTCACAACTCTGAGGATTACAACAAGTCAAACGGACCGAGTCACTCACGCTGTAATCGGGGCAGAAGGTCAGCTGAACGTTGTGCAACCGACTCTGAACTGTGAAATCACTGCAGGTCAAAGTCTCCAGCGCCAGCAGGTCCAACAGACGAGAGTCCTCCTTTCATTTAATTTAAAACAGCTGCAAGAAGAAACAGTTAAAATCTGCTTTTTATTGATCTCTGGTGAGGTTGAGTGGGTCAGATGGGAGGTTTTTATTGATAAGATGGTTTGGATTCACAAGAGAAGAGCAGCAGAGGAGTTTATATCAAGAGGAAGGTGACCTCTAGTGGAGGACGTGGGTTACTACCACTCAGAGGAACACCTCATGTCATCTCTGAGGGTTTTAACGTCTGTCTTCAGTTCAGTGAAGCTGTTCTGTTCTGTTCTGCTGGTTGGAAACAGCCCAGAAGATGTGATCTGATCTGGACCAGAACCAGCCAGTACTCAGTCGTTTTATTGCTCAACTGGTTGTTTCAGTGACGCAGCGTTTCTACCAGAACTTTAATAATAAATCACAGGTTTATGAAACATGTTCCACTGCAAAGTGTCCGTTTAGTTAGAAGAAGCCAAAGTTGTCACAGCTGGAATCTCCTCACAGTTAAATCAGGATTTATCACAAAAACAGATCAGTGATGAAACAAGCGTTTGATGTTTGTTTTATATCAGAGTGAGCTGATTGTTTTGGGGTTTTGGACACA